CAAATTTAAAAGCGGCTGTTCGCTTCAACGACTTCACATAAACCCTCGCTAGGCAGTTACCCAGCAACCGACCACAACACACACACACATACACACACGCACGCACGCACGCACGCACACACACACACACACACACACAACATACAAATACAAACGCTTCTTCGGACAGCCCCTTTTCCCAATAAATAAAAAAAAGAATGTGGTTGAAATTAGTACATTTTAAAAGAGTGTGTAGCGCAGTAGTTTCCGTAGTGACTTGAGAGGGAGACTCGTCCACAAATAGGTGGAGAGGTGGGGAGTCGGAGACAGGGGAGTCGGGAAGGACAAACCCACACGACAGTTGTTTGGGGGGGGGGGGTATATTATTTTCCCGCTAACTCCTTTGCCCTTACACTCTAAGCACATGGCGGACACGTCTTCCCAGCAGCCTGTCCGCATAGTCCAAGTCCAGGAAACATGTCTCGGGGAAGAGAACAAATCAGTTTCATTCTTTTATCAACTGCACCTACGTAATGTTTATTTTTTTCTTCCTTATTTTTCCTTTTTATTTTGTTTTTCTTTTTAACATTTAAAATTTGAATTTCGACGAAATGCTTCTCAAGCACTTGTTACCGACACCATAGATTGAGAAACTGCTTTTTAAAAAAAAGAAAAGAAAAGAAAAGAAAGAGAAATAAAACGTTGGGCATCAGTACATATCTGATCTGAACAGTTGGCTGAAGATACATGTACATTCACTCAGCAGCAGAACAAAGACGATGACGTGTCACATTTGGAACCGTCACACGTGAATCAGATACACAAGTTTGAGCATATTTCAGAGAATGCACGTTGTTGTATGCCTTTCAAACTTAAAGATAAAGACAAAGAAAGAAAGAATGAAAGAATGAAAGACAGAAAGAAAGAAAGAAAGAAAGAAAGAAAGAAAGAAAGAAAGAAAGAAAGAAAGAAGGAAAGAAAGAAAGAAAGAAGGAAAGAAAGAAAGGAAGAGAAAACGGCAAAATGTATCTGTTTGAATCACGAAGTTATTCCCCCAAACACCCCCCACCTCCCTCTCTGAGTAGTCCAGCGAGCAGACAGTTGCGTCTTGTTTGTTTGTTTTGTAAGTGTTTTACGGCGCTCGCAACTGCATAAGGTCATATGAGCGCGCGGGACACACTAAACTTTTTAAGTTGGTAGGAAATTTTGAATTTTGCCCGGGTGGCGACCGGAGCCTACTCTTATCGATTTTAGACCACCAAGGGATCTTTAACGTGCACAACTTGCACACGGGACCTCCGAGATTTTTCGCCCTTGTCCGAGAAGGCTAGGTGTAGATCTTTCCTACCAGAAGATCAGGGGTGTGGCTGAAAGACAGCAATAAGAAGAAGCCA